AACAGAATATTTAGCATTAGATAAGATAAATAATGAATTTATTTATTTTTAATTTTTTTAAAGAAGAAATCCTGTGTGGTAGCACTTAATACAGCCTGCATCAGACAAGGCTTAGTTAATATAAGTTTTTTTTTTTTTAATCAAGACTTGTGTAACATTTGTTATTCTTATTTTAATCATGTTAATGGAGGAAGAAAAGGCAGTATCAGCTTCAAGAATCGGCCAGAAAATATCGGCTGCACGTATCGGCGTATCGGTTAGACTGATGTTTAAAAAATCAGTATCTGTATCGGCCTTCAAAAACCTGTATCGGTCGATCTCTAGTTTAAACTCCACATGGCTTTAAGACATTTTTATTTTTCCCTTCATTTTTACAAATGATGTACATCTGTCCCTAATGTTGACCCCTGAATAAATACCTTAGCTTCAGGTCGTTAAATGAAATAGCTAAAGTTTTACCTTGAATATTTTGTTTTGAGCAGTAGCTACAAAAAAAAAATAACTGAGCAGAAACGTCTTACATTTTTGTAATTTTCTCTGCAACCTAGCAAATTTTTATTTATTTTTAAAAAAAAATTCTAAGCTGATGAATCTCAATAGGCAAATATTGTTTGAGGTTTCCTCTTTGTAACGACATGAAAGATTCGTCCTCAGCAAACCTAAAAATAGGCTCCAGAACAGATATTAAAGAGTTATCCTGTCAGGAAGACAAATCAAAACGTCTGTGGAAGTGTTTATGACCTCATGATGGTCAAATGTAGCTTAAAACCAGGAATCTGAAAATATGCTGAGGTTATTTTAACCAAACCTGACTTCYTCCTGTTTGATGTGATGTATTATAATAAAACACAACATGATGTCTTTTCTCCCTCCTCCTCCTCAGAGGCCTGTTGGTGCTTTGATTGAAGGCTCAGAGACGGAACCAGAGGCTCACGCCGTTTACCACAAGGTACCTGGACTTCTCATCAGAACCCATGTAGTCCCCCGAACCTTGTTTATTGTTATTATTATTAAACCATGAACGCAGGCGTTCAGTTGACGGTTTGAAATCTTCTCAGCAGCCCGCCACTGACGAGTCCGGTGACCACCATTTCCGCAAACCAGCCAACGACATCACATCTCAGCTGGAGATCAACTTCGGAGACCTGGGCCGTCCCGGCCGCGGGCGTGGGGGCCCTCGTGGGGGCAGGGGAGGCCGCGGAGGGGGAGGCAGCCGGACGGCACGCGGGGGAGGACGATCTGAAAAGGTAACAACAAAAACTGTTTTATCTCAGTGGTAAATCTGCACGCTGTTAAAACCATCAGCTCACACTGACTCTGACACTTTAAAGTCTGGTTCTGTGGAAATGTTAGGATCATTGAGCCTCATGCAAGAACATGTTCATAATTTTATCCTAAATTTCTCTTCATAAGAAGGGTTCGTACGAACATGTCACGTCAGATTCAACAAACTCTTCTATCATCAGGAAAAGTGTGTAAATGAGCTGCGTAAACTGATGAATGTGTACCAGCTGCTCGTGTACGAGGAGAGGAAATTAGCATAATTACCACCCTAAAACACCATATAAGGCTACGTTTCCTGCCCCACATACCAGGAAGTGTTCATTCATAAATGACATCACAAAGTAAAAAAGAACTTTATGATTTTGGAGATTAAAGTCCTGCTGTCAGAGATCCAGAAAAGAAAATCTGTCATTTTTAGCAGCGTCAGACCTGCTAAAGCCGAGGAARGAAATGACTGCTGTTAATGTCGTGTCTCCTGTGGGTCGTTACAGTCACAGAAATAAAAATATAAATCATATTCTTCTCTCTCTAGTCCTGCTCCYGTTTTCCTTTGGTCAAATACTTTTAATTCAAATATAAACAACTGTGTTACATAGTTTTCATTTATTCAGAAGAAGAGCAGTTGTGCACCAAGTGGTGTCAGATATGTTTCTGGGGGGAAAAGTGTTTTAAACTGTCTCCAAACTTAATTTAATGCATAATTTAAGTTGGTTTGTAGTTTGAAATCTTCATACTAATATTGTAGTGTTATACAACAGCATTAATAGCCAATTTATTTTAATCTAACCAATTTATGTCATTAGCTACATTTAAAATCTAATTCCAGTTCAAACAGAATAACCTACTGTCAACATAATTATGGAGTGTGATTTATTTTCAGCTCTAAATATCTTCAAACTAATGAAAATGAAGTTAATAGTGAATAAAATCAGTCTGGATAACAGCAGACTGACTGCTGGTAAAATATACGACAGGTCTGGACCACTCGTGAATTTTGTTTGTATCTGAAAAAAATTTTACAATAAGAGAAAAATGGTGAATGTGACAAATTCTCCTAAATCACTCGTACGCACAACTTAAGAACAAATCTGTGCGTACGAACGGTTCTTGCATGAGGACCAGTGATTTCATCTTCTCACTCTGACAACCAAAGGATTAAATAAAAACAATCTGAGGCGTTTATTTTGTAAATAACTGATGGCTCATCCAAGATTTCTGTTATTTCAGCAGCAGACTGATGTTCCTAACTCGTGTAAAAGAAGTGTTAGATGTTTATAAAACAGAATTGTTCTTCATCACTTAAAGATGTCTTTAAATGCACCCAGCAGTCTGTTCATCCTGTGTTTGCTCCGTCAGGCGGGTGGAGCGTCGGTCCCTAACGTGGACGATCCCGAGGCCTTCCCAGCCTTGGCCTAAAAGCTCCGTGTCTCACCACCAGCCCGACCCATCTGCCCTTCCGGGCCCCTCCTCTACGAGGCTTGCATGCTTACCACATCTTCAAGTATATAAGAAAAAAAACAAAAAACAAAGATTAAAAAAAAACAACATAAAAACATGGCAGACTTGTCATCCCATACCACTCACAACACCGGAGGACTAAAGTTTTATCAGTTTTAAAGAGCAAAAACGAAAAAAAAAAAAAATGGAAAAGGACCTCTTGTTACACTGAAGTTTTGTATCTAGGAACATGAAAGCAGGGATGTTTTCTTTTATCTTTTTATTTTCCCAGAGATTATACATACTTTAATATTTTTTGTGCAGCTTGAATTTGATGTATTTCTGCAGTTGGAATAAAGTGTGTGCATCTCTCTTGTTTTTTTTTCCTGATGACTTCAGTTAAGTTGTGTGAAGTCATCTGTAGAAGAGTTTGTAGTGGGGGTCCCCCCGTCCCTCAGTAACACACACTGATGTGGTAGCGTTACACTACAGGAGAACCTTGTATTAGATGTGTGAAGTACAGCATAATGTGCYTTGAGGTGTAATTATTTGGTCCTGACTGTCGACGGCTGAGTCGGGACAACAACCAGCAGATTGACTTGGTGTGCAGTGAAACTTGACCTTTTTAAATACAAATAAAGTGGACCAGTGGTTAGTAATGCTTTGTGCTCCCTGTTTCTGGGCTGTCCCAGTCTTTGTTAGGCTGGTCCTCTAAGGAAATAGCTGTTTTTTATTTTTATTTTATTTTTTTGTACCCTCTGGTCTCGGAGCGCCGCCCTGCAGGATTTACCACACCTCCCTGCTTCAAACCTCCCAGGCTTCTGCAGAACATGAAGACCTGCAGATGAGCAGAGAAACAGTTAAAACCTGCAGGACGGCGGTCCTGAAGGATCAGGATTGAGGACCACCGGTTGGGACCGAACCGTTCTGGTTTGAAGTAGTTCTTGCCTTTTTTGGGGAATCGATGGTTTAAATGTAGCGAAGAACGGTGAAAGGACCAGGAACATGTATATCTGGCTCCTTCAGTGTCTGTACTCAAAGTACTTTAATCAGCCACAGTCCCCAGAAGATTTACTTTGTTGTTGTTTTAAATATATATTTTTTAAAGCGTCTGTGCAGAAGCACTGATCAAGTTAAATGTTTTTGTGGAACAATCACTGGGCCACAGAATGTAAGTTAAAGGTGCTTTAAGCCACCTGCCTCAGTGTTTCCAGTGAGACGACGCTTTTATTAAAGCAGGTAGATCTCATTGGGGGGTGGGGGTGTTGATAAACGATTGAATTTAAAGCTTTACATGTTTTACTCACTTGAAATGCACTGAAGCAGATGGCTGGAGCGGTTTTCCTCGTAGGACTGAGCCACATGAAAATGAAAGTTTCTCTGCAAACATCCCTGTTCTAATAAAATGCTTTAGAGGTGTTACACGTCTGCTGCCACTGACTTTTTATTCATTTTAAATCTGCTCTCGGCACAAATATCTGATGGGTTTTTAATAGTTATACCACTTCCTGTGTAGCAATATTTACAGCTGGTAAAATCAGCATTGAACACATCACCATTTTTCTCAGTAAATATATTACTAGAGGTGCTAATGACATGAAATTTTCACCAGATGTRGGTAACAACCCAAGTGATCCATACATACAAAGAAATCAAACCATAAATGTCCAGAAATGAAGTTATTTGTAATAATGTGGAATGGCACAGGGAAAAAGTATTGAACACATGAAGAAAGGGAGGTGTAAAAAGGCATGGAAAGCCAAGACACCAGCTGAACTCTCTCAGTAATTATAAAACAAGCCTGCCCCTTGTCAGTGCAAGTTAATATCAGCTGGTTCAGTCCCAAATGATGGCCAGGTATCACACAAGAACCGTGATGATGGGTAAAAGTAAAGAGCTCTCTCAAGACCTTCACAACCTTATTGTTGCAAAGCATAATGATGGCATCGGTTACAGAAGAATGTCTAAACTTCTGAAGGTTCCAGTGAGCACTGTTGGGGCCATAATTCAGAAGTGGAAAGAACATTATTTCACCATAAACCGACCACGACCAGGTGCTCCTCACAAGATTTCTGACAGAGGAGTGAAAAGAATTATCAGAAGAGTTGTCCAAGAGCCAAGGACCACTTGTGGAGAGCCTCAGAAAGACCTGGAATTAGCAGGTACGATTGTTTCAAAGAAAACAATAAGTAATGCACTGAACCACCATGGCCTGTATGCACGCTCACCACGCAAGACTCCACTGCTGAAGAAACAGCATGTTGAAGCTCCTTTAAAGTTTGCTGCACAACATTTAAACAAGCCTGRGTAATACTGGGAGAATATAGTCTGGTCAGATGAGACCAACATTGAACTGTTTGGATGCCAGAATACACATCATGTTTGGAGGTCAAATGGCACTGCACATCAGCCCAAAAACACCATACCAACAGTGAAGTTTGGAGGTGGGAACATCATGGTGTGGGCCTGTTTTTCAGCATATGGTTCTGGCAAACTTCAAATAATTGAAGGAAGAATGAGTGGAAAAATGTACAGAGACATTCTTGATAAAAATCTGCTTCCATCTACCAGGATGATGAAGATGAAACGTGGCTGGACATTTCAGCAAGACAATGAGCCCAAACACAAAGCCAAGGAAACTCTCAGCTGGTTTCAGAGAAAGAAACTAAAGCTGCTGGAATGGCCCAGCCAATCACCTGACCTGAATCCAACAGAAAATCTATGGAAAGAACTAAAGATCAGAGTTCATAGAAGAGGTCCACGAAACCTTCAAGATTTGAAGACTGTTTGTGTGGAAGAATGGGCCAAAATCACACCTGAGCAATGCATGCCACTAGTTTCTCCATACAGGAGGCGTCTTGAAGCTGTCATTGACAACAAAGGCTTTTGTACAAAGTATTAGATAAATTTCAGTCAGTGTGTTCAATACTTTTTCCCTGTGCCATTCCACATTYTTACAAATAACTTCATTTCTGGACATTTATGGTTTGATTTCTTTGTATGTATGGATCACTTGGGTTGTTACCAACATCTGGTGAAAATTTCATGTCATTAGCACCTCTAGTAATATATTTACTGAAAAAAAATGGTGACGTGTTCAATACTTATTTTACCCGCTGTGTGTTCCAAGAAATTCAGGGTTTTTTTTGTTTAGCATGTATGACACCTGTTTCCAGTTACTTTTTATTTTGACCAAACACCATAAAGAAACATTTTAGAGCCATTGTTGCAATAGAAACTATAAACACCTGTGTATAGTTTCTATTGCTCAGTTTAAATGTCACAATATGTACAGATTAAAGTGCCTTCCATCCATCCATTTTCTGTACACGCTTCTTCCTTTTCAGGGTTGCGTGGGTCACTGGTGCCCATATCCAGCAGTCACAGTGCGAGGGGCGGGGTACACACTGGACAGGTCGCAAGTCCATCACAGGGATTAAAGTGCCTGTGACATGCATATTCAAATACAAAAAGTCAAAACATTTTTATTTTGAGAAAGTTGGAATAATACACATGATTTAATCCGTTTTGTCCCAAAACTGGCATATTTTCCTTTGAACTTGGCTCAGCCAAAGTGAAACAGGAAGTGACATCAAAGGGGAACTCTAACAAAGAAAACACTGGTTTTTGTTTATTGAAACAATATTTGAATTCTGACTCTTTTTCATRTCTGATAGAGACTCAAAGAAACATCAGATTCTTCTCTACAGTCTGTGCTGTTAGCCATGTTAGTAACGCTCTGTTTACATTCAGACATCCCCCTTTGACATCACTTCCTGTTACTTCACAGGCAAATATGTCAACAACTGTTCATCTCAGCCACATGAAWWWTTTTMRWGRWMTTTTTTATCAATGTCCTCTTTCTAAAAATGCATTCATGTGTTTTACAAAAAATTGATGTCACAGGCACTTTAAAGTATTAGGCAATTCAACAAAACGAGTGCTTCTGCTCAAAATGTAAACAAACATCTGGGACGTTTSTTTAAACATGGCTTTTTAAAGCTTTATGTTTTATGCTGCAACMAAATGTTTCCACATCTACAAAATATACTTAAGGTGAATTTATTTCAATACAAAATAGAAATTATAATCTGTGATTTTTTCGTGTAATGTTTAATATTTAGGTCTATTATYAGAACCTAAAAATAAAAGGTTCTTAGAACATACTTTACATTTAAGTGTTTTTTTATTATTGTTACAAGATATGTCTACACATAATGGCAGACAGCTTTATATATTTTTAGTTTTGTCTTTTGAATTTGCTTTTAAGTGTACAAAATATCAACACAACATTTTGCAGCTGACAGAAAATCTGTAAATATTAGTGAAAGTAAAGACTTAAAGAAAAAAGAGTAAAAAGTTATTGTTGTAATCTTACTGTAATGAAATAAAGCTAATTAAACGACGCAAAGTGATTAATTTGAAAAATTGAACCATGGTTCATTCACGTCGCTCTGCGCATGCGCGGAGCCTCGTAGCCGTTCGGTTACTTCCGCTCTTCCCGTCAAAGATGGRGTCGCTCCACAAACGCAGCGGTGAAGCCGACAGGAGCTCCTCGGCTGGAGTTTCATCCTCTAAACCTCAGAGGGAAACTTCTGCAGACTCCTCAGTGTTCGTCAAACTGCTGGCGGCGGGCTTTTACGGAGTCAGCTCGTTCCTCATCGTTGTCGTCAACAAAAGCGTCCTGACCAGCTACAGGTAGGAGGTCAAAGGTCAGAGGAGGGCTGCAAGAAATGTCAAGTGATCATTTCTAGTGTTTTGATTTACCCACAAAACAAGCTAAACGTGTATTTAACATTATTTTATTAGAACAACTCGTGTGTGCAAGTTTTACACAGATATGAGACAAAATAAAGTTAATAAATTGTTCTTTTTACAAATGCAATGGATAAAACTGACACCAAGTCTATCTAGACTGGTGGTGAAACAAAGAAGTTATAACAGTTTTAGTTCTGAAAAGTTACTATTTTTTCCCATTGGTTTAATATGAAAACCCTGAAAACTGGTGATCAACCTGCAACAAATGAACATAAAATCTTTATTTCTTTAGATAATTAGAGGAAATTTACAGCAGAAGTAGAAAATAACATGCTCTGAACACTGGATACTAATTAATTAAATAAGTTTTGAACTATTGTGCATTCAAAATAGGCCTTAAAACTAGAAAATAGAAAACAGTTTTAGCTGCTTTGCATCCATCATAGCATCATCCTGTCATGAAAAACCGTGTTCTCATCAGGTTATCCTGAATGTCCGTCAGTATTTAGATGAAATTATTTTGTTGTTCTGTCTACCTCTGATGGAGTGCAGTGAGTCGGAGCATGCTCTGAGGAAGAAAAGATGTCAGAAACTCTTCAACCAAAAAACAATGTGAAAGAATAAGTTCTTTGCTTCGTCACGGTGAATGGACCAGTGTGAAACACTGCTGGTGTTTTCTGACTTAATAAATTATTGTTGACAACATGAAGATGATGTCTGTAAAACTGCTAACTGACACCAATCTCATTCAAGAAAAAGAATGTAAAATAGTTTGTCTTTCTAGGAACATCTCTAAGCAGTCTGTAATTTCAAATATATATTTTAAATATTATTTGAAGTGTATTTTTATTGTTTTCTGGTAAATGCGACCCTGAAAAGGAAGAAGCGTGTACAGAAAATGGATGGATGGATGGTAAATATGTTCACATGAATTGGTGAATTTATAACTTCTGCAGTCAGCCACTAGGGGGTGCTCATTCTCAGTCTCCTCTCCAGTTATAATCTGTTTTGATGGTTTTAATCAGAAATATAAAATACTGTCTGAGCAGCTCTAATCTGCAGAGGGAGGTTGTTCCACAGATTACAGGCCGCCTCTAGATTTGAGCTTGTATCCAGGTAGACCCAGGGTTTGTAGACCTCAGCGCTCTGACTGAAGGGTAACGGTGCAAAAGTTCAGACAGATAAGGTTGAGCCATTTCATTATGACCCTAAAAACAAGCAGTTAATTATAACTGGATCCTGGAATGAATAGAACAATCATTTTTTTTTCTGTTTTGAACAGATAGGTTAGTTATTACATTAATTCAAACTCTACTTCCTCTCCACTTCTTTAGAATCAGGGTCGTTGATATTACATCATGTTTTGTTTTTGACCAGATGCTTCACTTGGAAAAACCTATTCAACAGGTGTTGGTATCTCACTGAGGTGTGGCTTTTGGACACTAGTTAACAAAATTGGCAGATTATTTACTGAAATCTAAGTGTTTGTAGCCAAGTGACCATCTGCCTACTTTTACACAGCTGTGCACATTATTTTGTTGTCCAACTCCACATGAAACCCATCTCGACTCATTTTGTTCCTACTGTTGCAGCCGGTCCTACGATTATGATTTAATCTGAATCCACTTTTTWAAATGAAGACAGGCAGATTTGAACCAGATTATGAGAGATTAACATTTATTATTAGCTGATCTTTAGACCTGGACAGTTGCTTTGGAAGTTTTCAGTCAGAGGTAATCTGTAGGTGTGACGAGTTGAAGATACCTTAGACAACTCTGGGACTATTTTGAGTTACACCTTTTTCAAAATTTCGAAACTCTAGTGACAAGATGTTATGTCTCGGCAGTTCACGTTAGGAAACTGAAAACCACCGCAGAAGAGCATTCTCACATAAAAACAACTAAATTGTGGGTTGTTGTGAGTTTGTTGCTTCTGCATCTTCATATTCCTTCTTGTTAATCTGTTATTTATGCACAGCACAGGCAATAGTCTAGCAGTGAAAGGTGATGTGCTTTCTGAGATTTCTGAGGTACTTTATTCAGTGTTGTATAAAGTACCACAAAACATTACTTTGCTAAAAGTTAAAGTCTCCTTTAGGAATGTTACTTGAGTAAAAGTCTTTAAAGTATCTGATATTTTTGTACTTAAGTATTAAAAGTAAAAATATTGATTTAAAATGAGCAGTTAGATTTTCTGTAATGACATTTAATAGGAGGTGACCTCCCCAAAAAAATACAGAAATCACTGTTGTATTAAAATAATTAATTCCTGTTAAATTTAGGATGCACCAGTCTGTTTCACTTTATATACATATATCAAGGGTGACCAAACATTTTCCCCAAAATGAAAATCTATCTGAGGGTTGCAGCCAAATGCAGTAATATAATTCATGAAATACAAATACTTCTTAAGTACAGTCCTTTTATTTTAATGATTATGTCCTGCTGGAGTGTGACATGATTTGTTTGTGTACAAACTAATACGGTATCAGAGTTTTTTATATTTATACTTCTCATTCAACCATAAATAAATTCACTCTATCTAGGAGGCACAGTTTATACGGATAGTATTTATTTTTTACAAAAACAAGCTGGAATGAAAACAAGCAAAAATGAGATAAAAAGTAACGACTTTCTAATTATTGCCTTTGTTTAAATGTAAGGAGTAGAAAGTACAGATAATTGTGTAAAAATGTAAGTAGAAGTAAAAAGTAGGCTGAAAAATAATTACTCAAGTAAAGTATAGATACCCAAACGTTCTACTTAAGTATAGTAACAGTTTGTACTTAGTTACTACTTTATAGTTCTGTTCATAAATAAGCCTCATTCACAAGACAGCTCAGTCTGGGACTGACGTGTGTTCTAGGGTTGGGCAATATTGGCAAATAAATTAATCACGATTAATTGTGGTATTTAGCCGATAACGATTAATTTGACGATTAATCCCCTGGAGTCCCTGGACACCCTAATGTCCTGGTTACATGACCATTTTATAGGGAGAAAACTGGCTCTTCTTAAAAATCTGTTCCAATTTGTGTCAAAATTACAGACTTCAGGCTATACATCAACCTCTAAATTGTGTTGATAGATAAATAAATTACAGAACTTTTATAATGTTTGTTATATTTGAGGCAGAGAGGAGCACCTAGCGTTTAGTCTGCCGAGTGGCATTAATCGTATCAATCGTCAAGTGCCAAAAAGTAATCGATTAATGTTTTTCTGACGATTAATTGCACACGATACGATTATGCCCAACCCTAGTGTGTTCTGTCCCCATCGGATCATTCAGAAGACAGAGGTGGCGAAGAGAGACTGACGCCCCTCTGGGCCACCAGGGGAGGTAGTGTCAGAGCCAGGCAGGTCGACTTGTGAAGAAAACCCTGCAGTGCTGTGGCTCAAGAAATGATAATGACCTGATGACAGTGAGCAACTGCAGGATTAATCAACAAACAGACTTATTACTGAGGGACTAATGAAGACGACGTGGCACAACAACTTTGTAGTTAGTTGAAAAAAGTTGAACCACAAAGAAGATTGATAAAGTGAGTTAATTCAGTTTGTTTTGTGATTGAAACGAGGCAGTGGCTATAGACATATAAAAGAAAGAGAGTGGGACCAAAGATGGAGGCTTGAGGTACACCACAATAAAGGAGGAGGAGAATAAAACATGCCTTCATAAATACTAAATTTTGATGGTCAACCAATCACTTTTTTTATTATTATAGTGGTTTCTGCCGTGTTTGCCTCTATTGTTTGATAGTGGTGAATGTGGACATGTATTTTGTTTTTGTGTAAAATACTAATAAGATGAGGAACAATAAATACTAAGTTAAAAAAGTGACAACTCCTGAGTTGAGTCTGATTTTTGTCTGGTCAGATCAGTGTCTTTATGTCGAGCATTTTTCTTAAACTTGTTGAATTCTGACAATAGTATTTATAAAATTGACTGTTAATCAGATAAAACTTCAGACTTCTATATAAAGGAAAGCAAAGTTCAAGATTATGACCAGAAATGTGGTAAAAACATCATATGACAGTGGTAGTTCTCAGGATTTATTATGGAGCCACTAAACGTTTGGTTCTTGCAGTCTGTGTGTTGGAAGCATAAAAATAATCAAGTATTAAAATAAGAGTGACTGACTCGAGCCTCGTTGAGATGTTTGGTTCCCAGCACCTACAGATTTGGCCGAAGTTCCTGTTCTACAGTAGTCTTAATTACCAAAAGTGCTCTAAGGAAGTAAAACCAGTAATCCAGCTTTACGGTCACACAAAGGTCACTGATACCACATATAGATCAAGATCCTCAGTCATGTTCACGAGTCAGCATCAGAACAGAACCTGAGAGTAAAGAAAGTACGCAGGTCTGCCTTTTTAGACGTCTGGGTCTGCAGGTCTCAGAATACCTGTAGAAGGGTTCAGGGTATGTCCAGTTCAGAAGCTTTGGGGTGTACTGTCTGGGAGACCTCCTCTCCKTACTTCCAGGACTTAAGAAATCTGGTACTTTTGGTTAGATCTGTCAGACCTACAGATTTTTGATGTCCATACACGAAACACAGCAAGCTCATTGTTTGCTCAAAGAAAGTGGGTTTTAGTGGGAGAAAATAATCTGTGTGGAAATCAGCATAAYTTAGATTACAACCCTGGAGTTCAATGAACAAAATGTCAGGATAAGTTTTTCTAACTGGGAGTAATCTGTCTGAATTTTACAGATTCCCATCATCAACATGTGTTGGAATTGGTCAGGTGAGTGTTTCTTTTACCTGCTGGTTGTGTTCTTCCTGGTAACAGAGTCTGGATTTGGTCCATATCCGTCTCCTTCCTGTTCACTGCAGATGCTGGCCACCATCGTAGTTCTGAGGACTGGGAAGATGTTTGGTGTTATCTCATTCCCAGACATGGATTTGAGTGTACCACACAAGGTGAGGAGTGGATACTTTTTAATCTCTGACATTCTAAGATGTGTAGTTGTAGTCAGAAGTTTTCCAGGGAACTCTGGAAAACCTGGAAAATGATTTTCACATTGCAGGCAGTTTTGTACAATATAATATATATAACTTAGCAGTATGCTGTCATCTCTGATTGTGACTGAGTACTCTCTCAGTACACGGCATCATGTCTTGAAGGAATACCACCAATCGTCAAGTACTCTCCCACTGACATACTGATTACCTGAAGGACAATATCCAATGTGTGATTTTCTTTCTGTAATTATCAGTTCATAATAAAGGGGTGGAGAGCAGAGGCCAGTCCTTTCATAACTCGTAATGTTCAAACTTTAAATCACTCCCTGCTACAGTTAAGTCTTTATCCACTTCCAAGGACGCACAGTTCTGAGAGTTTTGTGAGACGGAGACACCACCTGGTAATTAAGAAGTGATTTGGGACAAGAGGGTGTCAGCAAAGATCAAAGGAAAGGTTTTCAAGTCATAGTTTGGAGACAGAGACATGGACAAAAAGACAGGAGACAGAACTGTAAGTGTCAGCTTAAGATGTTGAGGTTCTCCTTGGGAGAGACAAGGATGGAGAAGATTAACATTGAGATCATCAGAGGGACAGCACAGGTTGAAGGACTGGAAGATAAAGTTAGAGAGACCAGACGGAGATGGTTCGAACGTGTCCAGAGGAGTGACAGTTCTATACTGGTTTGGACGTGTCCAGAGGAGGGACTGTTGGTATACTGGTTTGGACGTGTCCAGAGGAAGGACTGTCGGTATACGGGTTTGGATATGTCCAGAGGAGGGACAGTTGGTATTAGGGGTGTCCCGATCCGATATCAATATCGGATATCGGTCCGATATCAGCCAAAAAACGAGTATCGGATTTTATCGGACTGCATAAAAAATGTCCGATATAAGCGCTCCGATATTAGCAGTCCGTTCCAGCAGTTCACTGACTCCGCTCCAGTGTTTCTATCCAGCAGCGCTTGCATCCTGCTTGTAGCGCTCACGTGATCACAACATGTAGCGCTCACGTGATCACAACAT